ATGTCATAAATAATGAAGATAATAATAATAATCACATTAAAAATAATATATCTGTTTATTTTAATTTTCTTGAGAAATCAGATGTTATCTCATGCGTACAGTTTTAGTTTTGTTTGATTTTTTAAGGCTGGTTTACAGAATTTTTTTCGTTTTTACATTTGTGCCAAAAAAGGTAATGAGCTAAAGCAATGGTTCTCAAATGGTGTGCCTGGGCACACTGGTGCACCCTGGAAGATGTCTATGTGAGCCCTGGCATTCTAGAGAAATATGTGTCCAGATATAAGGAATAAATATACTTACTTTGTTATATTTCAGTACCCGTCTCGTTCCTATTTATGTGAATTAAGCTGTTCTGCTCTTACCAAAAACAAGTGCAAAAGAGAGGAAATCTTCAATGTATTGATGAGGAAATGAGAATTTGCCTGTAATATTTGACTTCATTATAACATATTTTTCTGAAATTTGTATATAGTGTGCCTGCAATCATTGGTAGGATTTCAAGTGCACCCAGACTTCAAAAAGTTTGAGAATCTCTGAGCTAAAGCATCAGTCAGTTATGTGCCAGGCGTGATACACAATTAGGCGATCATGTATCTTTCTGACTGATGAGGCAGAGTTTTTTCCGCAGTAGGTTGCCATTTCTTTCTGCAGTAGACCAGTTGCCATCCAAGGCTACAGAACGCAGTCCGTTCTGCTATTTACCCATAGCTGGGGAGAGAAGGGTATTAGCATCTAAGTAAATGTAGTTGATCCAAATAGAATTCAAACTCGACTCTCTGATTCCTCAATCCAAGCCACTATCCATTATCCACCATACCTCCTAAAGCATACAGTTTCAAAAAACATAACTCAGTGAGTTTGAGTATCTGTTAAGTAAGTCAGCCATAATGTTAGTGATAATATGAAAAACTATAGTTTTTTTGGTGCAAAGCTAAATGTGTCAGTTTTGGAGTTACCATCAAAAAGGACTCTGAAATTCTGTCCATTGATTAGATAACCATATGACTTGTGATGGATTAGATTAATAAATGTTGATGTTGATAAATTTTCATGTACCATTTTCCGTTTGTTTGCATTTATTTGTGCTTGTACTAAAAATGAATCAGACTTCAATATTTATTGATTCTAATTTATCCATTATGACAGGGGTCTCAAACTCAAAGACCCAAAAGAGCCATTATGTACTGAGACAGAGGTTCAGTGGGCCAGAAGCAGGCCTGTTGCCTGATTATTGCTAATATGAAGAACATCAGCTCCAGTGTGAGAGGTGATCATCAAGTCCAGAGGAGGAGCATACTGATAGAAGTGCATTTTCTTATATTAAAATTAGTTTGCACCACATTCACAGATGCAGGTGGGTGGGTATCAGTTATAACCCCACCTCACCCCAGTGATGAGCCTGACCAGAAATAAAATGAGTAAGGGATGTAATATGGAACAGATGCTGTGGTGTAATGGATATCAACTCAGAATGAGAAATTGTAGAAACAAGTTAGAATAGCAGCCAGTTTGTTAAATTCACTTATGTGCAAATACCCTTGGAAAAAGTATATATCCATCTCTTATTCCTTCCTTCTGGGTTGAATAGCAGGACAGACTGAGTCCCTATAACCTTGGGAGGAAACCAATCTACTGAAGAAAGAAATGGCAAACTACTGCAACTAATCAAAATGAATCCATATATTATATTATATTATATTATATTAGTCAGTTGAATATGTGAATATGAAATGTGAACAAAAATATGATTTTAAAAAAAATTTTTTTACTTAATTCAGACTTATAAGTAAAGTTATATTGAGTTCTAATTACTTTCATTGGATCGTAAACAGGTAAAAATTTACATTCTGTCATTTGTTACAGCACTGGGGTTGATTGCTTCACACCATTTAATCATCGGGTGAGTGGGTGTGTTATGGGCTTGAGTAGTATTTACTAGCTCTAAATATCTATTTTGTAATTGAATGTTATCATGAAAAATATCTAATTCATACAAAAATATCACATTTCTTTAAAGTATTTATCAAATTTAACATAAGACCATACTATAAAAATTTTCCCATATGCAAAAAAAAAAAAAGAAGATATTTAATTGCACAAAACAGGATTCTTACTCAGTGTGAAATTTAAACAGATAAAATTTGTTTGTTTACCATAATCTGATAGGACAGAGAACAAATTGGAAATGTTTATAAATCTAACATGCTTCACTTTTATTAAAGCTTCATCAGAGAATGTGATATGGAAAAAAAAATTCTTGTATTTTTATATTTGTGTTGTTTGATTTTCATTGGTTAAGCAGACTTCATGTGCATTTGACTTGTCAAGCAGCATTTATGTGTATAATTTATGTTATGTTGCCATTAGATCTCTTTGGCTGGATGTGAATGCTAAGAAAGCTAAATACAAAATAAAAAGTCATTTTCTGCACGTCACAGCTGGTCCACAAAACAAATCTTCATAATAAAATACAATAGCCAATCACGAACGTTCCTGCTGAAAAAAAGATAACCCTGGAGACCGCAAGATTTGCTTAAAAGAAAGCCCTGTGTAATGACTGACATAGTTGTGGGCCAAAAGGCAGCCTGTCACTGTCACTACCATAATCACATCTCTCATCACAACCCTGACCCTCAGGCAAGCTTCACTAATCTAACCTGACTTTTCATATGAAGAATGTGGCCAACAGTCCAGCTTTGACACCACATGGCTCCTGATACTAACCACTGTGATTTCTAACATCTCAACATCTTCACCATCGAGCTCCAGGCTTCCCTTGCCATCACCACTGTTACCCCATTTCATTGATACCACATTCAACCAGAATCTGACAGAAACTATCTGCTCAATCAACCTTCATTATCCACCTCCAGGAATTCCTTGTTTTCACTACTGTGACCTTGTTCATTGATCACTAATTTGATCAGAATCTAACAGAGACCTTCCGCTTGATCAATGTTCACTATCTACACCTAATTCCTTATTGTTGTTGCCGTAACTTTGATTGACCAACCTGCCAACCTACCTTACCTGGCAGTTTGGCTTCAACATTTTGGTGTCACACACTGCCAGCCCATCAAATACCTCACAGTTGTCAATTTCAATTTTAAAGAAATGTGTTCACCAAACTCCATCAATGGCTAATTCACTCTGGACCTATCCTCTGACCACAAATGTGACCTTGGCCAACCAACCCAAGAAATCGGTCAACTCCTGACCCTACCAACAATACCCTTACACCTAATTGCTTGAGTAACCAACAGCAACTGAAGTACAGAACATGAACAATTTTTACCAGAATTCAACACAAGTATGTATTGTATATATTCTGATTTTTGATGAATACATGCTGTTGAAAATTTCATCCTTATTTGTTTCTTTCCTTTGCAACCAAATGCTCATTATAACATTTATATATGTAAGTATATCATAATTCTGGTTTGTCTATGTGAGATTTGGATGATAATGTGTGTGTGTGTGTGTGTGTGTGTGTGTGTGTGTGTGTGCGCACACATGTATATGTGTGTGCATCTAATAGGCATTATTTATGTTTGGTGATTGTTCACATATTAATTTGGGCATATTTTTATGTAAACACCATTGTGATAGTGTGGTAGATAAACATGTGATAGTTTCTTTAAGAATGAACTTAATAAATGTTGCTGATGTAGTACTTTCCACTTTTTTTTACCTTTATTTGGGTTTATAGTAAATATAAGATAAAATTGTTCTTCACATATATCTACTATGAATATTTGGATTAAGATTGTATGTTTATGATAAACCTGTAATAAAAATGAATAACATACAACAACTTCTTTATAGTTTATTCATTGTATATCATATTATATTATTGTATATCAGTTGTAGGAGACTGAGAATTCGTTTGGGGTTTAACACAAGGGAGTAGCTGAGATAGACATGTAGAGAAGATCAACAGCCATATGTAATCACATCTTAGCAATTGAGAGTTAGTCTCTGCTGTTGCTGCTTGTTTCGTTGCTGGCCAAAGATATCACTGTTGATGGAAGTAACCTTGGTGTGAGCAGTTGTGTATTCTGCCATGTTCAGTTGTCTGCCTGCTTGTCTGTCTGCCTGTTGTGGGGTCTGACATTAATGCCAGCCTGGTCAGGTCTGCCTTCATGGGTGAAATCAACATTGGCTTTATAGTCAATAGGTGACTCAGAAATGGTTGCTGTGAAAATCTGTGTATGCCTTTTCTGATTGGTCAGAAAAAATATTTTATGACACTGGTATTTTTTAACAGTATTATGGAAGTGTGTGTGCAGAGCTGGATGAAATTAAGATCTGCTTTTATCATATGAACCATAGATGTTGAAGTGAACACTTCCATTTGAGTTAAAGACAGGGTATGACAAAGTTTATCAATTATCTATTTTACTATGTGAAGGTTGTGTAACAATTATTGCTGCAAAAAGTTGTCAAATGCCCTTGGGAAATAAATGAATTCATTTTTTCTCTCACCATCTACAGGTTAAATAGCAGGGTAGTGTGAACTTTCTAGCCTTGTGTGGCAGTGAGTCTAGGAGGGACAAGCTTAAGTTCAAAACCTTTGAGAAGGCAATAGGAAATCATTTCACTATCTTTCCCAAGAATTCAGATAATGAAGAAAAGGAATCTGTGGAAAACCATGAACACCTATGTACTGAAGGAAGACAGCATTAAAAAAATACTAGGTAAAATTTTTAACTTACTATATTCATTTTGGAAAATGGATTTTAAAAACATGATTAAAATGTCATTCTTTAAATGTTTGCATACTAACAGATATATGAAACACGAAAAAAATTACATAAGATTTAATTTGCAGACATTATTTGATAAAAAAAAAAAACAACAACAAAACACTTTAGCAGTTAATCTTCCATGCAGTGGAGTGATTATCAGAAAGCCGAATACAACTTTAAATGAGTTAAACACCGTAAGGCAGTTCGTTTCTATTTCCGTTCCTGGTCTTTGCCACTCCCACTTTTAACCGCATGCTGCAGTATAATGGCTGACGTAAACAACACTTTCTGCTACTAAAGAGCCGGTAAGAAGAAGAATTTTCTTCGAGATAAAGAAATATTATTTTTGTTGACTAATGCTAGTTTGGCAGCATTTTTTAGACTAATTATGTTTTATGCTAAGACATCATATCGTTTGTTGTAATTTGATGAATTGTTTGGCTTTTTCTTAACCAAGGGACCTAATTCTACATATACCCAATCCAATAGTTTTCAGATAATAAACCGTCTTGCTTGACTTACCGAAATTGTTATATAAAAAAATATAAATAATGTTTTCCTATTAAGTATTTAATTCTTTTTTTTTTCATTATCTAAGTTTTATTCAATAAAATTAGCTGTTTCTCGAAGAACTCTACGAAACCAGAAGAACATTTAGTCAAATTAAACAACACTGGCATTGAATACAAATCTTCTTAATAATGTCAACTACTGTTATGTATTTGGCGATTGTTTATGTCTCTCTCTAGCCAGATGTTATTGATTGATTAGATGCTTAATCGTCTTAATCGCTAATCACTTGAGCAAGTGCATATTGATATGCAATAAATCAATTTGTAAATCATCGATAAGTCCTCTAATTTAAATTGATCAAAGTCATTTTAAACAGAAATTCATTGTCACTTAATAACAAAACAACCGTTCAAACAAAAAAAGTAATTATTTTATATTTTTATTCACTGGTTTCAGGAAACCTTTTCATTTTATTTTCTAAAAAAAACCAAAAAAAACCCCTATTTTTGCAAATTTTGTGCTAAATTTAAATTGTATTTTAAAATATCTTATTCTTTTTAATTCAAAATCAAAATAATTGATTTGTGTTATTTAATTTTGTACCAAAGAAACTAGTGAATAAAAATATTATAAATATTTATTTACTTAGTTTTGCTTTATTGACAGCATGGCTTTTTAAATTTTTTAAAAGTTACTGAATTTGATAGGTAAAAAAAAGAAGTTAAATGGTAAAAATAGTTCGGAAGAAATATTGGCAAATTACGTACAGTTGTCAGAATAAAAACAAGGAATACGACACAAACTCAAACACAAGTTAATAAATGTCTTTCTAAAGTTCTTTTTATTTAAGTAGTGTTCACTGGTGTTTTTAGTATTTAACAAGCAAAGAAAAAAAGAAGAATGCAGTGCAGTGCAATATCATAGCAAATTCTTTTCAAGTTTTATAAATTCTTTTCGGTTGAAGTTTTTACAGAATTTAAAAACAGTGAAACTGAAACACTATTTTCTCAGCTTTTTATAATGTTATTATTTTGTAATTGACTGTATAGCTCTTGTTTACATAAACAAATATTGTGACTGCAATAGCAGATTAATTGAGAAGTTAATTTATGAACAAGAGATATGACGTTGTGTAATGTAATAATGTCAGAATAATGTGAAGAGGATAATTATTGCAAAATCTTGGAATGATTTCAAATTCAAAAATATAATAACATCGGGGTTTTTTTTTTTTGTGATTTTTGTGTTTCTCCGTTAAACGTTGCTTGGCTTCTGAATTTACCTGGGGGGAAAAAAAAAATAATTAAACGTGGAAAAATAGATAATTTCAAAAAGTATTCTTTTACTTAAGTAATGATTAAATTAATTGCTGTCCTAAATAACCATATTCATGGATCATGTAGTGGAAACAAATTTAGATACAAATCTAAATTCTGATAAAATAAAAATATTTCTTTTTTTGTCAGAATCTAGATTTGTGTCCTGTAATTTCATACATTTCATCTGGGTGCTCTATACTTTCGGCCCTGGGCCATATGTAAGATACACTTATTTGTACAGAGAAAAAAATTGATTAAAATTTTAAAATATTTCTTTGATTTTGAATTTATTTTAGAGCTAATTCCTCATAAAATATGAGTCATAAGTTATATAATCTTTCATTTTTGCTTTTCAGGTCCTGATTTGAGTGATTTTCTTTTACAATGGCTTCAAGTAGGATATCCACCTTAATCCTGCCTGTTCCCACACTGCTTATATTTTGACTATACAGGCTGAGTTGTTTCCTTATGTCTATATTTGTAAATTGTTTCTTTTACAATTGTGGTTGTTGCATGTGCAACTGTGTGGCCACAGAAACACCTTTAGTGACTTGTGCCCTAAACTCGGTCACTTAATTTTCTGATGGCCACTTGTTCATTAGATTTGCCTAAGACAAAGGCAATAGCTGAACGTTACCTTTCCAAACATCACATGTCAGCCAAAGAGGCCAGCAATTATGCATGCCGTTTACTGAAAAACCTCTGCACCTTGTGGCAAGACCAACTGTTCTGTGATGTTGAGATCCATGTTGGTTCTCATACCTTCCATGCACATCGCAATGTCCTGGCAGCAGGCAGTCCTTATTTCAATGCCATGTTTGCTAGCACTTTGGTTGAGAATGAACAAAAGGTAATCACACTTCATGAAATACATCCAGACATTTTTCAAAGTCTTCTTAATTTTTTTTACACTGGTAAGTAACTAATTATTGCTTATGATTCTTTTTTTGCTTTGAACAAATATTTAGACAAATCAGTAGCCATATTCGTTATGTTGGTCATATACTCATTCACAATCATTGGCTTTTTGAGTTGAAAAAGAAAATAGTTTAATTTTCAATATTTGACAACAGAATCTTATTATCCATAATTAAATGTAAGGATAGTAGGAAGAAGTGGAGACATACTGAAAATGAACCATTGAAAGAAAAAGGTAGTGTCGATCCTCTTAAACGAACAGCTTTTCAATCAACCTTTATGAAAGAGGGGTTAATTTTTGATAAGGGTTGCCAACAGTACTTCATGCTGTTCTTAAATAGTTTAAATGTCAGAAATCTGGAGAAACAAGTCTTTAAATTTCTGTCTGAATTTCTGAGATGAGGAGTTATTATTTACACTATTTACATTTGTCCACATCTTTGTTACTGTTATAATGTTTCAGATGTTGTACTCTCTAGGCTCCATCAAAGGCACTATTGCCAAGACATTTGGATAACACCAAAGATCAGGACAATAGTCTGAATGTAAACAGGGTAGCTAAATTAACAAAATTAATCATTGTTTAATTATTCTAAGTAATCATAATTTAATTTTTAATTGTATTGCATTGAATGTCAAATTTAGATTTTTGACTGATGTCAATTGAAAAATCTTATGAAAACTTTTTGTATGATTCACTATTTTTAACATTTACCCTACTTTGTGTGTATGTGTAATTTTGATTGGATTTCAACTGTCTCCTTTTCAGTTTTTGTTTATTTATATACAGTTATACATGAATGAAATGAATTACTGGAAAATAGATTTGAAGTATCTTGTTCTTAAATGAGAGTATTTCTTTACATTTTTTTGTCTTTAAAATATTCTTTTATGTGCATGAAACAGAAAATATGTTTAGTTTAATTAAACTTAATTGTAATATTTTTACAGGTCAGATTGAAGTTAATTCAGAAACCTGTCAAGAATTGATGTCTGCAGCTGACATGTTTAATGTGTCCGAGGTGCTTGTCTTCTGCTGTGAATTTCTAAAGCAGCAACTCACTGTTGAAAACTGTATCGGTATGGTTGTTTCTTTATTTCTTTGTTGCCATTAATTTACTTTCCCTGGGTAAATTCATTCTGATCTTTTCTACTGGAAATTAATCTTCTGTTGAATGTATACCAATTAATCTTAGAATGAATTAATACTCACTTGATATGTGTCTAGTTCTGAAAAAAATCATTAATCTCAAACAAAAATATAATTTTTTTTTTTTTTTTTACACTCAAATATATTCAAACCCGATAATCACCCACCCTTAACACCAATATTTTTTTGTTTTACTAATCTGTGGCAAAGAATAGTTTATGAGCATAGACCAGTTTTGGGGACCTTTTTTTTGTAGTGATTATATTTATAGTATTTTAGAAACACATAGTTGATTTCTATGTTTATGGAGTGGGAAAGAGTTGTTCATGAATTTTGAAAATGGTCAATTTTAAAGGCAAAACCATTTCTTTTCTGAGTGAACTCACTTGGTCACACCTCCTGGTAAATTTTAATCATAAAGTGTTGATTTATGTTTAAACAGAAGTAATTCCCAGTTTGTTGATTATTTGATTCCATCCAGTTGATAAAAAAAATCACTTACATTAATTACTTAATTATTTTTGTTGCTATTAATTGTAATGAAAGGTCAAGTGACATTGTTTTTAAAATTAATATACTTAGACATTGTTAAAATATTAACAAAGTAGAGAAACGACAGAGCGTTAGTCTTTAAACAAAGTCATAATATAATCTTTAAATAAAATGTTATTGGTAATGTTTCAACATTATGACAGTCGAATTGCCAATAGTTTTTCTTTATCTTTTTATTTTTTCTATAACTCTTCTTAAAGAGAATTTTATAACCTATCAGAATGCAATGCAAATTAATTTTCCCTTCATTGTTTCATTAACAACTTGACTGAAAATAAATAATTACCAAACATTTAAATCTACTGTTAAAATTCTTTTCTAAAGTGAAATTATAACTGATTAGAAAACTTATCAATGTAATTATTGTTTATTAATACTGAAGTAGTAATGCACAGATTACATTTTCAGTATATGTTATTTTATTTTAGGCATTTATATCTTTGCTGAGGCTCATGCTTGGGAAGATGTCTTGGAGGCGGCCGAACGTTTCATATACAGCAACTTTGAGGAGGTTGGTCAGTCAACAGAATTTCTTGATCTTCCCAAAGAGACATTGATCCATTTTTTGAACAGTGAGCACCTTCATGTGAAGACTGAGTTACAAGTTCTTTATATCGCACTTAGATGGCTTCTTCACGATATTTCAGCCAGACGCATTCATCTCTTTGATGTTCTCTCACCTGTAAGATTCACTTTAATTCCGCAGAATCAGCTGCGTAGCTACCTCCGCGATTCCATTGATTCTATTGATCTGGAACTGGAAAAAGCTCTGAGAGTCTTTTATCATAAAGTTTATTCAAAACGAACCAAAACTCATCCACGGCTACAAACACAGAAAAACATTTACATTATTGGTGGTTTCTCTCGCCTACAAGGCAAACGTTGGGCTGATGGAGAAACCCTCTGTAGTGTCGAGAAATTTGACACTTTTGAAATTCAGTGGAAAAAGATGCCTGAAATTGAAGATGCTCGAAGTGGACATGGAACTGCTGTGTTGAACCAGAAAATCTATGTTGCTGGCGGTGAACGTGACTCATTAATCTGTGATACTGTAGAGTGTTTTGATCCAACAAATTGCACGTGGAAGAATGTGGCATGTATGAACTTTCCTCGTTGCAATTTGACTCTGTGTGCTGATAGACAACATTTGTATGCCATTGGTGGCTGGATTGGAAGTGAACTGGGAGCCACTATAGAAAAATATGACCCAGCTATTGACCAGTGGGCAGTATGTGGCCGAGTTAACACCTTACGTTATGCAATGGGAGCTGTTGAACATGAAGAAGGTGGGTATTTATTTATTTGTTGTAGTTATTGCTATTGTTAGTGAATTTGAAGATTTTATTTTTTTGTAATCAGCATATTTCACACGAAGATAAACTTTGGAAAGATTTTAAAACAAATAGTTATCTCCCTTGGTTAGTCTCTACTCTGTAAACTAAATTCCATATAAAATCCTAGATAGGCCCATCATCACAGTGTTTCACTGTAATGGATTTAACGGATTAAATTATTAACTCCTGCTTAAAACATTTTTGGCTCAACTTTTTCAATGAGGTCAAACGAGTTAGGGAGTTACACTTTAAATATAGCTTAGTTAAAACTGTTGATTGTATTAATATAGGTAGCTCCACATATTCTCTAAAAAATTAACATACCATGATGAAAAAATACCCCAAACTTAATAAAAACAAAATTTTATTCTCAAAATCTTTGTTATTATTAAGAGGAAAGATTAAATTAACTTTTGATTATTAAATTATATTTGTTCGAAATTTTGGTTAAAAATCTTGTTCTTGCATCAGTAAAGGGACCAAAGATTAAAATAGGAAATTAAAAATGAAATGTCTATCTTGTGGGGAAAAAATATTGATTTGGAAATTCTTGCAAAAATCAAATAATTGTCAGATTTTAATAAAACTTTCAGGACTTACACATAAATGAATGAAATTATTTTTATGTTTTTTTTTTTTTTTTAAGTCTTGGTTAAATTCATAATTTGTTTTTTTTTTACGTCTGTTACCCCTCACTTATTTAATTTTATGAAATTTCAAGAAATGAATTTTTATACTGCTTAATGTTTATATTAGTTATATGCAGAAATCCTTGGAAATTTCAAATCAACAATTTTTTTTGGTAAAACTGGACTCTCATTTACCAAAAATCTGCTCTGAATCATAAAATAAAAAATGCAATAAAACTAAGATATTAGAAAAGCTTTTAATTGCTTTTATGAATATATTATGGACACTATTGTCGTATGGAATTTTTTTTATGAATAATTCATTTTTACAAGAACTTTTTCATTTTTTAAAAATTATAATTAGTAATTAGAATAATATTTAGAGTTTTAAATCTTTTAAATTTTTGTATTAATTTGTAGAGGTTAGGTAATATTAAGTAAAAACTATATTTTCTAATCATAAATGTAAAAGCTTACTACAATTCAGCAACCCCTAGTATTTTAAATATTTTTTTTGTAGATGTCCATACACAGCATTATCAGAAAATAAGTGTGGTAACTACAGTAAATTTAAAGCCAAAGTATCTAAAATTCAATAAAACATTAGATTATGGAGAATATTTTCCTAAATTTTTAAGATTACTGAGTAGTTAAAAATTATAAAAAATGTGCTCATGTTATCTTATTGAAGTAATTTTAGTCATATGTCCACTATAAATAGATAAACTTCAATCTGTCAGTCAAGCTGTCAACACTCTAAATAAACATCTATTGTCATGTTAAAAATGCATTTCTGTGATATTTTAGACTTAATCTAATTTGAAACAAATATTACTTTAAGTAAACTTTGTATTATCTAAAATTACTCAAAGTTTCAGAAAAGTATATTTTCTTTTTGAAAGATTTTTTAATAGAGAATGACAAATGGCTAAAAATGGTGCTAAAATCAGTGATTTTTAGTGATTTTTAAAATGAAAAATCCTTCCAATGAGTTTAAATTAGTTTTGAAATACAGAAAAGTTTTTTCCTAAATTAAATTTTAATCTATTAGCTTGAAATTAAAACTAAAATAAAATCTTCTAGAAAGGTATTTCATTTCGCGAGAGGTACCTATATTAATATTTTGTTTTCATTTAAAATGATGTTGGTGTTTTATATTTTCATTAATTTTTACAGACATCTTGAATATGTTCATTTTTTCTGTAGTACACCTTTATTAAACACCTGTACATTTTATCTGCTTCAATATATTTCTAATTTCAAATGGATTCCTTTAGCTCTGTTACGCTTTATTGGTTTTTATTTTAGTATTAATTTCAAGCTAATAGATTAAATTTAAATGCCTTACTGTATTTCAAATTTAAATGCTTTACTGTATTTCAAACAGAATTTATATTGATTAGAATTACTTTTTTTTTCTGATTATCAGTAAAATCAATGAAATCATCCATATTGATCTATCAACACAATATAATTCTTTTTATTAAAACTGAAATCTTTTTTCCTACTTATCAGTTAAATCAATAAAGTCACCTATATTGAGAGATTTGTCACCACAATATAATTCTCTTGATTTAAAAAAATCTTTCAAAAGTAAAATATACTTTTTCTGAAATGTTATTTGAGAAAAATTAACTGATTTAAAGTTTAATCAATCTGAAATGAAACAAATATTATTTTAGTTTAAAATATTGCAGAAAAACACATAAATGCTCTTTTTTAATATCATTTTATAACTAACCTGTAATCAAAAATTTAAAATATTTTACATATTCTAATATTTTATTGAATTTTAGGTACTTTGGCTTTATAGTATTACTTATGAAAACACTTGTTAAAAAAATTACCAATAAATTTCTAGTTTACTATAGTTACTGCTCTTATTTTCTGATAATGTTCTATGTGGACATTCATTTTTACAAAAATCAGCACACAAAAAAATTCAAGATTCTTTTTAAAATACTGGGGATTAGTATTTATGATTAGTAAATATAGTTTTTATTTAAAATTCACTTGACTTAACAAAATTTTCTAAAAAAAAAAAAATATTTAAAAAATAATTTAATTCATTTGTGAATAAATTCTGAAAGTTTCATTAAAATCTGACAATTATCTTCTGAGTTTTGCAAGGATTTCTAAAGCAATGTGTTTTTCACCATAAAAGCCTCAAATTCCTGTACAAATTTATGGTCCCATGTTGATGCCAGCAAAACACGATTTTAACCAAAATTTCAATGATTCGAATAAGGATTAAAAAAAAAATATAATTTTTACATCAAAGAATCCTTTGATCTTTCCTTTTAAGAGTAACAAAGATTTTAGTGATATAACTTTGTTTTATTAAGTTTTAGGCATCTTTTCATCATATATGGTCAAGTTTTTAGTGAATCTTTGGAGGTATTGACATAATGGAAGATAAGCATAACATATTTTTTAAGTGGTTATCTTTATTATTTTATTTTTTTTGTGCTAGTGCTTTCCATACCAGAGACTCCTATATAATAATTTACTTTTAATAAAATTTACATTTAATCTTCAGTTCAGTGGATGATGAGCTTAATGCTCTTAGAAGCAGGTCAAAGAAGACAACTCCAAATTCCTTGCAATGTATGCTGATAAAGTTAAAAACTGTGATGAAGCGAAGAGACATTTCATTGACATAACTTAATGAAACTTCATCCTTACCTCTAAAGGAACAAATGAAGGAAGAGAAGTGACTTAGTCAATCTGAGTACTCAAAAACAACTCTAGAATTTGTGATGAAGAACTACTACTTGAAATGACCTTCAGTGACAAGTGCCAAGTCCAATCAGTTGCAGTATACTATTACTTCGATTTTTATATTGATCAACTTATTGATATTACATCTCAGTCCAGTGTTGTAATCAAAATTTTTGTTCCAACCAAAGGCAGAGATTATTATTTTTGATGGTCTTTAGTGGCATCAACATTGTCTTTAGGTGGGACTTTGATATAATACAATTTTCAAAAGGTAATAGGATTTGGAGTATTCCAAGAATATTGGCTAAGGTAGAGGCTTATAAACAAATTCAAACTGCAAATCTCCATTATGAAATGCAGGAGGATCATTTCAACTGTCTAGAAAGTCTTTTTCATCAGTTCCAATAAATGTATTTTTATTCACTAGAATTGTTTTTGCAACATGCATCAGCGTGTTAAAATTCTCCCAGTATTTAGTATTGTTGGATTTATTGCTAACATTTTTTGTCGAGATTTACTAACTCTACGTTTCGTTCAATTTCACAAGCCAATCAGTGAAATTTAAATAAGCTAATTTGTTTTGAAAAATACTTTGACAAAAACCCTACTTAATGGTTTTTACACAGCCTAGTAAAACCAACTGAACTTATTTGTTTGTACTCCTCCCAAAAATTTGGTTTCAATCAAACAATATATGGCTATTTTAGATGGTGTGACGGACAAACAGAAGTCGCAGAATTTTATATATAGATTTCAGTGTTTTTGTTTGAAGATAAATAAATTTAAAACAATAAATAAGCATTTGTTTGAAGGATTGACCAATAATTTATTTCATGAAACAAATTTCTAAGTTTTCTAGTTATTACTATCCTTTCCCGTTTTGGCAAATTAAGTTGGATAATTTCACAAAATTTTCTAAAATTAGATACATGTATGAGAAAAGGTATTGGTATTACAGAGAAAATAACTATTTTACTTAATTCCTTATCCTTAAATTAGTAAAGTTTTAAAGTTTTGGGCATGTACTTCCAATGGATACTTTTTTATGGCAAGTTAGTTATAGTATACTTTTGACCAGTTTTTGTCCTACTATCAAATTGTGCCTCTGGCTGTTTTTACATTTGATTTTTTTATTGATGTATTAATGAAAAAAAAAATTTAGCTTCATCTCTGTTGTACTAAAAGAATCCTAGCAAGAAATTGTAAGGCATTAATTGTTGAAATGAAACTTGTATGAGAAATTAAATGTCTTATCCTATGTTGTGCTTTAACTATTTTTCTTTTTGAGAATGCAATGTTTTCCATTGTTTAGGCTGGTTCTCTCTAAAAATTATTGATTCCATTAATATTATATTTTTCTTTTACTTCAAGACTACCAAGATGGCATTATATTTATAATGGTTCTTAACTAGTCTGAAGCCTGCATCTTCAGTTATATGCTGTTGAAATTGGGTTAAGGAATGGTTGATTTTCAGTTACTTTTATGAAAAATCAGTTGATAGTGACAGCAAACAAGATTCAGCTTTGGTAGATGAAACAAGAGAAACCATCCTCTGTGTGTCTATGTAACAGTGAGAACTTCTATGTCAGTGTCTATTATACAAGTTATTGCTTTTGGAATAAATTTGGTATTAGCCCATTGATGCTATTAATATTTTGGCCATATATTTATGATAAATATACCATGTGAATATATATATTTATAACATTAATTTTTATTAGAAATATACAGAATAGACTTATTTGGCGGTGCGAGATATAATTGTGCAACTCAAGTGCTGTTTATCAGCAATACCCTGTCTTCATCAGCCGCCGACCTGGGGTGATATCACGGTTTCGGTGGCTATGGTGGGGCCGCCACCCCTGGCGCCACCAGCAGCGTTTGCCACCAGGCAGGGTATAAAGATAAGCTAATTGATTGTTCCTTTAAGTAAATTCTATCCATAATGAAATTTTCCTGAACGTGTTTGCCGTTATTGATGCGCTCGTAAAAATTGTTATAGATGACCATGCAAATATTTCACTTGCGCATGTTAGTTCATGATGTTGCGCGCATTTTATTTGACATTACGTTACACGTCCATAGATTTGGCACGCAGTGACTCGTATCGGTTTTTCTTTAGTTTGTGCGCCTCCACCCTGTTCTCTTCCCAAGAGACCGTTAACTCTATTAGGAAGACAGTCTTTTTAGAGTCAGACCACGACACAATGTCGGGACGCTTGTCTGTCTGTGCGATGTGTATTGGAAATTTTAAGGATGTCATTAGATCCACTGAAACCTTCCAATCACTGGCATCACTCAGCAGCTTTATATTGGGGGCTGTTTTTTTTCTTTGCTGGGCATTCCCCTTCCTTATGGAATTCGATCTTAGTTTCCTTGGTTGCCACAAGCTGTTGATTTGCTGTCTCACATTGTGTCCTTATTAGATCCTTTATCACCTCTAATACCTTCTATGTAAATATATATATATATATATATATATATATATATATATATATATGTATATAACATAGAATAGAAATCCAAAATTACCTCATTTAAACATTTGAAAAAGGAAAAGGAAGCTGTAGATGAGACTCTAGACATAAATTTAAATAAACTCCCAATGTCATGGTTAATGTCATGTTAACATCTCAGGTTGAAACAGAATCACAAAGAAAAAATTTTTTAAGAAAGAGTAAGTAAACAGGTAACATCTAAAATTAAAAATTAGAATAATCTTACTTATTATAAAACGCAGATTGTGTGTGTGTGTGTCTGTAACGTTTATATATTGGATCGGATTTTCTACATTTTTCAACTGATTTCAACAAAACTTCACAGGACTACATAAAATTACCTTGTGGTGGTTCTAACAGCACCAAAAATGGGAAAAATATAATTGTTTTTGCACAAAATCAATTTGAAAAACACGATTAAGAGACATCGTGAAAATGGAAGGGGACAACTCACATCGGGTTGTTTTTGTGTGTGTGGGTTCCTTTAAATAAGGGAGCGGATTTCCTATATTTTCAGCCGATAAAACAAAAAACTTTTTTTTTTTTTTTTTTTTTTTGGCAGGTAGTGTTTTTTTATTCTCTTGCACAATTTTTTCTTTATTTTTAAGATTCAGAATGTTTTAAAAATTCCATTTACAAGATCATTATTTATAATAAAATTCTATTCAATTGGGAGACTCATAACGATTGAAAACAATGTTTTTGTTTGAGTTTCGTTTGACTAAAAAAAAAAAAAAAAACTAATTAAGACATGCGTGCTCCGTCAACCTTAAGCACTAATCTTTGTCAATTTTATTTTTCAGTCTTTATGATGGTGGATACTTGATCTATCTCTTACTGTTATATCCCCGGGCAACGCCGGGCTCTACTGCTAGTATATAATATGCAAATAATAATACATATTATAAATAAAATAATTATTAAAAATACAAATTATTAAATATAAATTAATATTATTAAATATAAATTATTAAATTAATATTAATTAAAAATAGATATTAAATATAAATAAAATTAATAAAATATTAAATAAAATAATAATTAAAATAAAATAATAGATATAATAAATAAAATACAGACAAAAAAAAAAAAATAAAATGAAGTAATAATAAAATAAAAGAGCAAGATAAATGAATAAGAAAAGTAATGAAGGTAAAATAAGGAAAAAACCATAATAATGATAAATATATTGAAGATAAAACTATTGATAATAAAATTATTTTTTTATTATATATTATTTTTTCTATTATAAAAATATAAATTATATATTATTATTTTATTATATATCATTTTATTTACATTATTGATAATATTTTATTATTTGTATTTTATTTAACATTTTATTATATTTTTCATTTAATTTATATTTAATAATTATATTTAATATTTATTTTTAATTAATATTATTTTTAATTTAATATTTATTTATATTTAATACTTATTAATTTATATTTAAATATTTTATTTAATAATTATTTTATTTATTATATTATATGTATTATTATTTGTATATTATATATTGTTTTAAGTTTAGATGTTACCTGTTTACTTACTCTTTCTTAAAAAATTTTCTTTGTGATTCTGTTTCAGCCTAAGTTAATATTTTAAAGTATAGGTCAAGGTTATTTTAACTGTTTTCTTGAACCAGACACTCCCACTTCTACCATAACCTTGGGAGTTTATTTAAATTTATGTCTAGAGTTTCATTTGAAACGTCCTTTTTCTTCTTTTTTCTTTTTCTTCTTTCTCACTTCTTTTTCTTCTTCTTTTATTCTTTAAATGTTTAAATTTTGATCTCCTATTTTATTTCTTCACACAATGAAGTTGACAAGGCCTATAAGTAAATCTTGTGAGCTGAAATAGCTATTCGAATGAGATAATTTTGGATTTCTATTCTATGTAATTTATGTTCTGTTATAATAAATTAATTGAGCTTTTTTTTTTTTTTTTTTGGGATCAGTTTTTAAATTTTATATTACTAGGATTCACTTGGATTATATGCCAATGGATTATTACCTGTGTCTGTATGTATGTATATATATATATATATATATATATATATATATATATATATATATATATATATATATATAAAGTATAGTTATTGGTATTAACTTTTGATTTCAGATATAAAATTGTTATGCTTCATAAGAAAGATATACAGGAAGAAACAAGATATTGTATAGTTATTGAGTGATAGAAACAAAAAATAGGAAATTGCAAAATAATTGAACAGAGATCATCAAATAATCAAAAAGAAATTGAAAACCTTGGAAATAATGTGCTTCATTCAAGATTAGAAAAAGAGATTTGAAAACAATTAAATGGGTGATAAACAAAAAAAAAAAATAGTGGATAAGGCCCACAACAAAAAATTGAGGAAATTTGGGTTCCATTTAGAAAAAAATCAACCTTCTACAGATGCAGGTTCTGTGAGAATTTTAAAGTGATTCTGAATATAGACTTGGATTTAAAGAATCTTCAGTTTTGAGATATTGTAATTCTTCCATAGGCCATTTTTCTCTTTCCTTTTAAATTTGGTTTTCAGCTTAGCAAAGCTCATGTGATAATCATGGCTAACTTCCATATTAGCGAGTATCTTGCAACACACAAACATTTGACCAGAGCCAGTAGTGAAGTGACTGTTGTGAGTGACAGTTTTGTGATGATTGTAATAGTCTTTTTTAAATAAGGTCTAAGTATTTTCAAAAAGGGAAAAAATTGAGATCAACTTTAGAATTAATGGGTGGAGAGATTAATCTTGCCTCTGGTTTTTTCCATACAAATATTCAGATTGGCTTTGTCTCATTTTTTTTCCTGCCATTTTCTAATGAGGGAAGGCTATCTTCTGATTTTGTTTATATTTTTTTTTTTTTTTTTTGTAATCATCAAAACAACTTGTCAAGAGACAAACCTAAAGTTTTCTTTTGAATATCTTTGTCTATTTAAAAAATTACTCCCTCTCTCTTTCTTTCCTTAAATTAAAAAAATTGTGCTTGAGCTTTTTAAAGTATTTAATTATTTCTTGAAATTATCATTAAATCTTCACACATTAGTTTCAACAGGGCAGTGTGGATATTACCAAACATCAGAAATTGATAAGAGAGTTTCCTGATTGTGCTGAGAACTTTTTAGCATTGCTTTATATGATTTTGCATTGGTTAGATTTTATTTTGCATTAAATTAAAGATTATTGGCTTGTTGGCTAGGAAATTGATAAGCTGCTTGAAAGATTTCCACAAATATCATTACTGAAACAAAAATAAGGTAAAATTCCATATTTTATGCCCCCTCTTCTTTGAAATTAGTGTAGAGGTTTTAAAATGTAAAAGATAAACTTTCTATTGCTAGATTTTACTTTCTCCAGTTGAATAGTTTGAGCTTTTAAAAGCAACTTTATCACAATGTTGGTATAATATATGAATATATATCCAATCATGCAGAATATAGTCTTTTCAATTAAACTTATAATTTTTTGTGTAGTATCTTGAGGTAAAATATATTAATGTTCAAACGCACAAAATGATTTAATTTCTATGAATACACTAATATTTCGAATAATTAAAACTCGAGGCATAATAATTAAATGTTCTAAATTTACAGATTTTTGTCACTTT